AGGAATAGCTTTGCCCAAAAAAGTTACAATATTTAGTTGACAAAGAACATTGAAATGAAATTCTTTGAAAGTAGATCTTTAAAACGGAAATCAAACAAAAACTTAATTTGATTAAGAGATGTAATGTCTTGTCTTTTTTCTTGTTGCATAAGAAGATTGATAAGTAATAACAAGGTTCAATTAAAATCATAAAAGGGACAAAACACACTGTTGCCTAATACATAGGGACACAGAGATCAATAACAATCCACAAAAAAGTAAAGATTGAACAATAAGAAATCTACCAAATAAAATTAACGGGTGAAATCATGTGCTATAGAAGGATGTGCAGCCCCTACTATACTAATGGCACCTGTCATGGCTGAGTGTCATGGTGATCACGAAAGAAAAAATATTGAAGATAAGTGGCATTCTGGGACGACAAATTGTTACGGGAAAGTTGAACAGGATTGCCGCTATGATTATTGGAACACATCCACGATCATCTATGACAGATATTCCGTGGCAGTCAACAAATTTTCATGGTGGTCGTCACGGTAAAAACTTTAAATGAAATAGAGGACTTCAACTTTACCAAGAAGAACACTTGGTTGAGTAGCTTCCTTGTAATTAGGTTCAATCCATTTATACCGAAAATTTCTGTAAAAGAGAGGCGAAAGATACCAAAGGGACATTCAAACTCATAAGTCGAAAATAAACTGACAACGCTATGGCTAAAAAAGAAAAAGACAAACAGACAAACAATAGTACACAAAACACAACATAGAAAATTAAATTAAGACTGAGCAACACGAACCCAACAAAAAACTGGGGGTGATCGCAGGTGCTCCGGAAGGGTAGGCACAAACTCTTGAATATCATAATAAGTAAAACAATGGAAAGTTTACAGAAAAAAAAAACTCATCAAAGATACAGACTAGTATCATATTGAATAATTTAAGTGATTTATCATGTTCTCCTTTCATCATCGAAGATTTGTTAAAGAATGTCACTTATCTCCCATTTTTTCTCGCATGACACCTTCAAAACGGTATTAAATCTGACAGAAAGGGGAATTTAAGGTGATACACCTGATTAGTTTGTTTATAATTGAAGAAATCACAACCAATTACATTTCGGAATTCATAGTGGCTGCTTCTCGTAGTTGAAGACCGGTTAACCGTGGATTTTATCCCCTCAAAATATGTGATTCTGTCCAATCAATATAGTGATCACATTTAAATTGCATTAGAATCCATACTTATCCTTTTAATGTACAAGATGACATCACAATACCTTCTCCTTGTATTCTCAGACCACCATTCTGTATGGTTTAAAGTGCGCCCAAATAAACAAAAAAATGTTGAATACTGGATAAGAAAAGTGACATGTTAAATGATTGGGAAAAAAAAACACTTGGCAGGAACAGAAAATTGATTCCCAATTTCAAAGATGCGTATTAACTTATTGATGGACTGATGTATCACTTTGTTGTAGTCTACTTAAATTAAGGCAACAGTATTTTATCGATGTTCAAATCTCATAAATCGACTTATGAGACAAGGTAACGAACAGAAACTGAGGGAATCACATGAACTCAAAAAGGAGCTAGACCGGGTGCGATGGGTAAGCGCATCCTGCTATGCCTCCATCACAAGCCGTTCGAATTCATAAGTAAAAATGTCTCAATCGGGATAATGACACCATCGAAAAAACTAAATATTAAACAACTATTTTGGTATATAAAGAAGTAACACTGTGAAACATAAGACATAAAGACATTGACAAAGGACGACACACGTCCTTGTTCCCATTTCTTTATATTGATCCAAGTAAACGGAATTCTGATGATGACCAAGATATTTCCTTCTTATTTCAATTTCTGTATAGACAAATTAGAAAGGAATTATCAACACTTCTGTGTAACTGGCCCAGTTTCACTGCCAACGTAGGCATGACGTGAATCCTAACCTTTTCAATGCAACCGACACTCATCCCGCAATGAAACATAATTTATGAGAAATCTTCTTTTAAAATCAGGTATATGGACTCCAACTTCGACATTGTTTTGATCCACAAACCGGTTTGATTCAAGTGCAATCGAGGAGTTTCGTGTGGATAAAAACTAAATCCTAAGCCTGTAATCTGTAACGACTTTTTCAATTAACACTTATACACAAGCGAGGAATGGTATCATATCAACAGATTTATGAAACAAAAACTATTATCTTCCTCCCTCAAGTTGTCATCCTTACAAACAACGACACAGAGACAAAACAATTAAAATATCTATTCCTTGGTCATATAGCTCTTCAACTGTTTAGGTTAAATATATCTTGGCTTTCAAATATTCGGCTTTTAGCGTTCATGAGAAGGTTAATCCAGAAAAGCTCTTCGGATGCATGGAATTTATAACGTGTTAACCGTTGTTTACATTTTTTATTTTCACATAACTGACTGATCAACCGATGTGATTTTTTACACTATAGAAGAAAAGTAAGAGCATGCTATAAAAATAAAATCTCACCAGATACCAGGATTATAATTTGGTACACCAGACGCGCGTATCGTCCATATAAGACTCATTAGTGCCGCTCAAATGAAAAAAAAAAATGGAAGGTCAATATCAAATACAAAGTTGAAGAGCATTAAAAACAAAAAAACCCGAAGAGTTTTACCGAATACGAATATGGCTATCAGGAATATGACAATAAATCGGCGATTACTTCCTTGGAGATCGTGATTTTTTTTCTCATCCTTGGAGTCCGTCGTCCGTCGTCGTTAACTTTTACAAAAATCTTCTCCTCTGAAACTACTGAGCCAAATTTTACCAAATTTAGCCACAATCATTTTTGGGGTATCTAGCTTAAAGATTGTGTCCGATCACCGCGCCTGCCAACCAAGATGGCCGACATGGCTAAAAAAGAAGTAAGGGATAAAATGCAAGTTTTGCCTATTATTTTGAAAACCGCTATAGAAAGAGAAAATCTTACAAGGCAAAAATTTTCAGAATGTTAAGCTCTACCTATTGTTCATAATGGTCAAAACTGTCAGACGACTTCTTGTAGCAGTTATTGCCCTTAGATGATGAATTTTACCATTTTTAAAATTTTTGCCTATTATCTCGAAAATAATAGATAGACAGAAACTTTGAATAGCAAAAATGATCAGCAAGACAAGAGCTACAAATAAGTCAACATTGCTGAAATCTTCAGTCGACTCCTGATTGCAGTGATTGCCTTATAATGACGATTTTTACATTTATTTTATTTTTTTGCCTGATACCTTAAAAGCTATATTAGATAGCTAGGAACATTAAATATCAAAAATGATCAGCAAAACAAGATCTACAAATAAGTCAAACATGACCGAAATTGTTAGTTGAATCATTATTGAAGTTATTGCCCTATTATGACGATTTTTGCCTATTATCTTAAAAACTGTAATAGATAGATAGCAACTTTAAATAACACACATGATCAGAAAGACAAGAACCACAAATAAGCCATAATGGTCGAAATATTCAGTCGACTCATTATTGGATTTATTGCCCTTTAATGATAATTTTTAACGTTTTTTGCATATCATCTTGAAAATATAACAGATAAATAGAAACTTTAAACAGAACAAATTGTCTGCAGGATAAGATCTACAAATATGCCAACATGACTGAAAATGTCAGATAACTCTTAATAGATTTATTCCCCTTTATTGCTAACTTTTAATAAAATGTGGCCATTGTTGAAGATGCAGGTGAGCGACACAGGCTCTATAGAGCCCCTAGTTTTCAAAAGAAGCCATTGTACATGAACTTTTTTTGGAGTATGCGGTTTCTTGAAGCGTGGTATTTTTATTCTATTCTATACAAGTCCCCATTTACAGTCTAATATTGTTATTTTTAAGGAGTTTGCGTTTTCATCTTATTTTTTTATTATTTTGAATTTGTAGAACTTTCAAAAATTAAATTATATACAAGTCAATATCTTTCCGCAAATCAACGTTTAGTTTGTATGACGTTTGCGATTACTAACGATGTGATATGTTTTGGTGGCCATTTTCCAACAGGCAACTTATGTGAATACATGATATTTATTATCCATATTATATAGTTAATTTTGTATTTAAGTTTGATGTTATTCTAATTGGTCCTAATTCCTTTCTATTTATTTGTATTGATGTTGTATAACTTTAAGTCGCATTTATGAATAAGAATAATCTTGACTTAGATTTAAATAGCTCTGTAGATTGATCATAATAGTAGAAGAGAAGTTGAGAGTCTTCCAACAAATTAATCTTTACTGTTTTGATGTAATTATGATGCCAATAATTTCACATTCAACTCATACATATAAAACTACGTTTAATAAATTAAGATAGACTTTCCTACCCTCATATCTTTTTGGATCAATATTTTCTCATTGCCATTGTTATATTATAGTTCGTTTCTGTGTGTGTTGCATTTTAGTGTTGAGTTTCTGTTGTGTCGTTGTTCTCCTCTTATATCTGATGTGCTTCCCTCAGTTTTAGTTTGAAACCCGGATTTGTTTTTTTCTCAATTGATTTATGAATTTTGAATAGCGCTATACTACTATTGCATTTATTTAGTATAAAGGTCAAAATAGAAAAAACATGGAAAGGAAAATATTTGGAATCCCAATAAACCCCAAACCGAAATATGACAATTTGTTTAGGCAGGGTAGGCATACATTCTATGACTAAGTATGTTATTTCAAACCAAATACACCAACACGTCATATAGTAAAACTGGTGATAACGTCCGATGAACACGTATATGACTGAGTAAACTTGTTCCTTGCTAGATTATATGCTGATGCACTGTTATCGTCAACCAATTCCTCATTGCAACCGTAGAATGGAGCAATAAACACTGATGAGTGTGATGTACACGAAACGCACGTCTAGCTCCCTAAATTATAATCCTGGTATGTTTTTTTTTTTAATTTCTTATCATCCAGTCTCATAACCATTTCATTGTAAAACAACCGACTAAACACTAGAACTTTGATAAACAGTGAGTTTATTGCAGATTTGAAAATGATTATCTCATAACAATCACTGAACAGATATAATCGTAATGCAATAAGAAGTATGAGGTGTTGTTACAATAAAAATTCTGTTCAATTGAATACAATTGGCTGATAATATTAGAGTGAAACACCCGAATGCTAAGATTAATAAATAGGACATTCAAATCATGATAAGTGTACGCTAAGTACATTCAAATATAGGTGTACGCAAAGAACATTCAGATACAAGTGTATGCTGTTTGGTGCGTTCGATGCGCATTTCTTCACTTTCATTAGGAATGAACTTTTGGGGTAGAAATGTTTTGTGCACGAATGTTTATTGTTTAATCATTTCATGGAAAACTGTTAATGTTTAAGACAATGCTGCATGCACATTTATTTTTCCTTTTCGTGCAACTATTCCTAACATCTTGTTGGTCAGGATATTATGCTGCTCTTAGAAAGATTTTTATTTTTGCTGTGTGCACATCGCGTGTTTCTTGAGTAAACTTCATGAGTCCAACATATGGAAAGTAAAACAAAAATACATGTCGTTTGAAAGCATAGCAACATAACATGCAATATTCCATATTAAATCAACATTGCCCGAGGGCCTTGCATCCTTTATTTAGAACAATTGAATAACTTAACGAGGTGGTGATGTACATTCACAGTTTTTACCACTGCTCTGACAACTAGATGGATGGTATCTTCCGAGACTGATACCTCCATGCATCGATACCGATTCATTGGAAGTATATAATGTACATTGTATCAATGTTTAATATACTTATAGCTTTATACATCCTCATTCGTATATAATACTGTATAAATAACGTTATTCTACTGTTTTTAATCCATGTCCACACCACATGTTTTATAAATATAATAACATATATATATATAAAAGATTCATAATAACATTTTATTCAGCAACGACCCAAATATAACTGATAAATGAAGTTTGGCAAGAAAATTTATTTGAACACTGTCAGTTATAAAAAAAAACTGTAGTTTAAAATTGCATATCACAAAATATAATTATCGTTTGGTTAAATGAAATGGCGTTATTGCTACTGAATCTTCTATAATCTATAACTACAAATGACTGACTTCGCGATGTATATTTAATTTGAGCGGAGTAGGTTCCTTCTTCCTTAAGGAGAGACGACGAAGAACTTTTCCTTGTTTTATTTCATTAACAATGCTATCAACAATCTTCTTATCCTCAGATTTACTGGGATGTAAATAATTACCACCTGAAATACAAAAATATTTGTTATAGCAATTTGGCTTTGCAAATACCAATATTTATCGTATTAAGTACAGAAATTGTACACATCATTTATATTACCATTGTTGTAAAATGTGAGAAATAGGTATTTCGATTCATTTTTAAGCTACATGTTGGTCTTCGATAAATGTTCTGTCGTAATGCCACGCTTAAGTCATTTATTCAAAATATTGTTTGAGTTTGGGTTTTATATACACAATTAGCTATTTTATTGGACCATGCCTACTGACACTTTATTTAGTTAGTGAGTATGTGATAAGAATCAACCATCAGTTTATGTTCTTGAGACAATTGGCTCCAACTTTCAATAATTAAAGTTATCTAATTTAGTTTGTCATTAACTTAGAGTTCACACGTGTTCTTGATTTACTATCAAATAAATTTGATGCCATTGTAAAATCTGTTCAATATTTCTGCATCCGTTTGTATTCCTCTAGAAAGTACAAATGCATTGATATTACTTTCTTTATTTTAGTAAGTTAACTTACTTCTCCGTTTGCTAAATATTTCTTCCTGTGCTTTCCGTCTTTTCTCTGCTGATTCTTGTTGTTCTTTCTGTGTTGTCAATTCCTTTAAGCAATAATATGCATTACATGTGTGGTATACATTAATGATTATACATAAAGAATTAGCCTAATTTTACATTTCGATATTATTGTTGTCATTAATTGCTTTTTTTTCGCAAAGCTAATTTTTAAAACAGGTCTGAAATATATAACAGTACACCATACAAATGTTTGACAACGGCTGAAAGAAAGATAACACAATTTGTAATTTATCTTTGTCAATATGACTTTTTTTGTATTGTCATGTAAATCTTTTGAATTTTGATAATCATGCACTTAAATTCAAATTTAGATTAACAAAATCAATTAAATATAAATGTAGGATAGCGATGTCAGTTAATTAACATCTATAGATTTAGTATAACAATATCAGTTAAATATAAATGTAGTATAACAAAATCAGTAATATGTAGATGTATTCTAAGGATTCAATGCAAAACAAATAAAACATCCCAGTGACTAATTTTTTTTGAACGTCCTGTGTTCAAACAATTTTAATTATGGATTCGTCTTTGAATGAATGCATCTATCTCATTGAACTTGAAATAGTGGAGACCACAAAAACAGTAAAGTCTGTTTCATATCTTGGTTAAAATCTAGAATTTTGCAATGAAGGTATGTCGAGAACTAAATTTTCCGACAAAAAAAATGATTAAAATTTTCGATCGTGAACTTTCTTTATCGGTGTAGTAACATTCCAGCAGCGCCTCCATATGAAGCATTACCTTCAAGTTGATGCGCTTTCAATGTTTGCGTTACCAATGATGTTTTTCTTGATAGAGGGTTACTGTTTATATAGAAACTTTTTAACCAAGAGTTTCTTATGGTAAAACTGAAGTCATCCATTCGAACGTTATATGGATACCATCAGGATTTGGTTGACCGTTATGGAATATGTGTATCATAGATGACAACGGACCCCCCCCCCCCCCCCCCATTTTCTTTGGCCACAATTCCGTCCCCTTCAAACTAAATTGTGAGATCACCAAATACGACTTATCACCCACTTTTTACTTGCTATTACCAACACGACAGTAGTAGAGCAGGAACTATCTTATCCTTCCGGAGCTTCTGGCTTCAACCTCGGATTATAGTGGGCATAAAGACTGCTATATCATTAAGGTTTGTGGTCTAGAACTTGTCTTTTCCTTGTTTCTCTTTTGACCATGGTGTTACCTGCTTTTCTTCGACTTAATTTGTGATTTTTGATTTGCCCTATTGGTGTCTCCTCACTATTCATAGCGTCTTTCATTTAAAATGTTCTTTTAATGTACCTCTATGTTTCACTGTATGCGACGATAAAAGAATACATCAATTGCAGTTCGAAGTGTGCAAAGGCAATCATGCCACAAATTGAATTTGCCAACAACTGTGTCTATATGTCATTGGAGAAACTATAGTGTATATTGAAGACATGACATGCACTTCCTATGAAAGTAGTCAAGTTCTAAACAGCGATTTATGATAAATAAATCAGCCAACATTGTTTATGTGTCTTCTGTATGTTTGTTCCTTCCGACTGTCTATGATGTATTTTTACAACGAAAGATACAAAAAAGACTTTTTTAGCAACATCTGGCTAGAAAAGACTGACTAATATAAAATGCTTAACCTAAAGTTGACGTTAATAATTCTTACTTGTTGGCAGGTCTTAATGTTTTCAGTGAATTCTTTGAACGTATCTAAAAATTCATCCAAACTAAATGATCTTTCATTTTCACAGAAGTGTTCGGCCATCTTAGTAGATAATGCTTTAACACGACTTATTCCCTCTTCTACGTCTTCCAAATCATTCATAGCTTCCTATTAATAGAAAAAAGGATATAAATTCCAAACTTACTGCATTTGGTATATTATATGTATTTTGTTGTAGAAAGAAATCGATATAATAATTGCAAGGTCTTTTGAACGAAGTTCATTTTATATCAGAAAAAAAACAGAAAATATTAAAAAATGTAACCTTTTATACTAGTAGTTAGAGACAAACTATTCTTTCAAATTAAAGAAAATATCCTAACTTACATCCATAAAATCTGCAAACTGTCCTTTCACTTCTTCATCTTCTACCTTATCTACTTTACTTTTTATGCTTTGAACGTGCTTCTTAAGTTGATTAAATTCTGTAACGGTTTGTGCTAATGTAAATCTGAAAATAATAAATGTACAAATACGTATGAATAAAAGTGATAAACGTTAACAATACTAAAACCAAAATATCTAGGGTGTAGAATTAGCATATGAAATATAATATAATAAACATTCGTTTTTTTTTGTTTGTTACGACAACAATAGTGATTATACATGTCAAATTCAAATAGTTTGGATTTAGTTTTTAAAAAATGTTCCGTAAGCTGTTCTCTATAATTGTAGCGCATATTCGACGAATTTGATTATTTATTTCAATAGGACTGTCAACAGCCAGAGGCTACGTGTGGGTCTCTTCGAGGTTTTTTTTTTAAACTGTTTATGTCTTGGTACATGTATTTTTGTGGTTTTACTTTATGTCAGTGGTGTTGTCTGGTTTCATTTGAATTGTTATCTTCTCTCTCTGTTGATTCGGCAGACTCTAGGTCGCACAAAGCCGAGTCTGAACTGTACTGATAAATCAGAAAAAGCTGTACATTCTAAAACGTACTCGCAACTGTCCACTCCAATCGTACATTATGTGCTTAACAAATATCAATGGCTTTTTTTAAACAGACTATTCTCGTAATTGAGCTTATTATCTACACATTCTTGCGGAAATCCGATAGCACTTTTGGCTGAATTTTCTATCAGAGTTGTTCTTTGGCTCTAGGTTTTATGAATTTTGGACGTTTCATTTATCAGTTAGTTTCTGTATGATTGACTTGCGTGTACTAGCTTCAACTTATTTTTTATACAATGTTCAGATAAGTTTTCTCAAAATTGAGTTGATTAAATTTACCTGGCAGCTTTCTGGAGTAGGTCCAGTAAATCGTCAACAAAACCTAAAGTATCCCTATTTTTCTTCTCAGTTTCTTCAACAAGATGATGTAATAATGTCATTCTAGGAACATTAGATTTAGTGTTTACAAGCTTTTTCAATGAGCTAATTCTAAAACCTACTGCATTTCCACAATTATTTTTCTACAACATAAATGACAAAATATCTCATATTGTCTAATAAGTAAGATGGCAAACATTTCGAAATTATTACAACTAATAACTAAATCTAAACTTAACCCTTTGAGAAATAAATGTTTTGAAGAAACTCTTTGTGTAAAAGTCTGTCTGAATTGAAATAAAAGTTGAAATATATTGACAATTCATGATTTGGTTATGTGACGGAATATCTTTGTCATAGATGACCATGGATATGTACCACTTGTCGAAACCCCAATCCCATCTTCTTTTTCTCGAAAGGGATAGTCTATGGATTTATACTTGTAGGAGCAATACGACGGGGGCCACTTGTGGCACAGAAACTACTTATCAAACTCGACCATCTAAGTTCACCCCCTGTTTATTTTGGGAGCGTGTTGATCAATCTTAAGTGTTTTTTTAAGTTTTGTTATTGTTGTTCGTCTTTTCGTTGTTTTTTTCTTTTTGACCACGGTGTTGTCTGCTTTTATTGAACTATGAAACAAGTATCCAACAACATTAGACTTACTTAGTTTAAACTACATTTAAAAAAAAGTGATAAACAAAATAGTGAGTCTATGCAGTACACGGTAACGTTGAAAAAGTATACAAAATTATATATAATTCATAGATGCATGCACAATATTACTGGAGGCACAGGAAAGTTTAATAAAAAGTCTTCCTTACAGCCCTTACGATAAAAAATTAAACCGTGCAAAACAAATGAATGTAAATAAAATCGTCTCCGTTTGTTATTACATTAGTCGATGCATCTGGACTCGATCCGTTCGGAGATCATGCGATTCATTCAGTTTGTTTATATTTATTTGTATTTTAGATATTGAAATCGGTATATTACTGTTGCCTTTTATCAAAAAGTGAGATAAACAGTATTCTCTAATTCTTCGTCAATTTATCCCTTTCTGCACCCATTGTATAAAAAAATTTAATCAACGTGTGGTTCGTTTGATCTCAGTTCTTCATTGGTTAAAATCCGATTATGACGTCGAAATTTCTTGTTTTCCTCTGAATTTCCTATTGTGACGGCATGAAAAAAGGCGACCATGCCTGATGACGTCACATAGAAAGAACACATCTTTTTGCAGATCAGTCCCAAAGAAGGAATAAGTTTGCCTGCGTATTGTTTGAAAATCATTAGAGAAACAGATTCTACCACCAAATCTCGTGTAATACGATATTTATCCACTCTCGACAGTTAAATTTTAAATATTTAAAACGCTCGGCAAGCCTCGCGTTTTAAATTTGAAAATTTAACTGTCTCGAGTGGATAAATATCGTATCACACTCGATGCAGTGGTAGAATCTATATCTATCTAGTTATCGAACATTTAATAAAATGATAGCGCCAGAAGGATAAATATTTTGTTAACTGAAAGTGCGATTTAATTCAAACGTTAGATAATTTATTTACTTAATCGTTCAAATCAAAGTATTCTTTGAATTTGAAAATATATTACTAGTATTTTTATCCCCCCTTTAAAGCTAAGATATTACTTTCTTTTTTCTTTTTATTTATCAGTTAAATTTCGTATTCCTATAAGATATATCATAATTTGAAATAAAACAAAAGTTGTCGAAAATATTAAGGCTATTATTTATATACTGTATGAGTGAAGATGAAATTATCAAAATGCTGGACTTTTTAATCGACAATATATTTGTTGAGTTTGGAGGATTGATATTTCAACAGACAGTCGTATTCCAATAGGTACTAATTGTGCACCCCTTCTGGCCGATTTGTTTTTGTACTCGTATGAAGCAGAATTCATTCAAAACCTTCTTAACGACAAAAAGAAAAAGCACCTTGCAAAGTTCTTTAATTCTAATTTCAGATATATTGATGATGTCCTAATCACTGAATAACCCATATTTCAGTCAGTACTTGCATCTCATACACCCCAGTGAACTTGAAATTCAGGATACTACTGATACAATAAGGACTGCTTGCATACCTTGATCTTTTCCTATATATTGACACAGATGGACGACTTCACACTAAAATCTATGACAAACGGGATGATTTCAACTTCCCAATTATCAATTTCCCATTTCTCAGCAGTAACATACTCTCTGCTCCGTCGTATGGTGTGTACATATCTCAATTGATACGTTATGCTCGTGCATGTTCACACTATACTGACTTCATATACAGGAGTGTGCTCCTTACGCAGAAACTGCTCCAACAGAGTTATGAGGAGGAAAGATTATAAATGACACTCTGTAAATTTTATGGACACCATCACGAATTGGTTGATCTATACGATGTGTCTGTGTCTAAACTAACTAATGACATTTTTACCACGACTTAGATTGTGGTTAAACATCTATGTCGTCTGTCTGCTAAGAACCGAACGTGACCTAATCCCGAATATGACTGTTATACCGAGAGTGAATTTACATTGCTATACGACGTGTCTCGGTATTTTGTACATCCAACATTCAAGTTTTTATTTTTTGATGTTTTTGTTATGGTTTCGGTTGAATAATGTGTTATGTCGTATCGTTTGTTGTCCAAATAATTATAAAATTGCCCTACAATACCATCATTGTCATATTCCCGAATATGACTGTTATACTTAATGTGAATTTACATTGCTGTGCGGCGTGTCTCTGTGTTTTGTACATCCAACATTAATGAATTTATTTTGTTGTTTCTGTTATGATTTAGGTTGGATAATTTGTTATGTCTTATCGTTTGTAGTCAAAATAATTATAAAATTGCCTTTCAATCCTATTATTTTCATGAAAATTGTTTGGACCAATATTGTGAAAATAATTGTATAAAGTTCCAGATTGCATGTTAGTTACGTAAGCGCGTCACTGTTTTTGATATCCTGTGGTGTTTTTCGTTGATTGAGAATATGTTCGTTGTTGTTCTGTGGTTTGTATGTTGTGTCGACTATTATATTATTTGTTTCTGCGTTTCTCTGTTATGAATATTTGTGCTGTATTTCTGTCACGTAGTCTTTTAGCGATATTTTTTAACATTGTCATAAAACGGGAGGTTTGGCATACCATTAAACCAGGTTCAACCCACCATTTTTTCTTAAAATGTCCTATACCAAGTCAGGAATATGGCAGTTGTTATCAAATAGTTCGTTTCTATGTGTGTTGGCGTTTGTTTTTGTTGCACTTCGGTGTTCCTGTTGTTTCTTTGTTTTCCTCTTATAGTTGAAGTCTTTCCCTCGATTTTGGTTTGTAACCCGGATTTGTTTTCTCTAAATCGATTTATGACTTTTGAACACCGGTATACTACTGTTGCCTTTATTTATAATTGATATTTTATATAAGTATGAGATTAGGACATCTTTTCGTAAGATTTGTTCGATGTGAAAAAGTTATGTCAAGTATCAACTAATAAAAAAATAACACTTTATTAATTTCGTGCGACCGATGCGGATTTTTGGGTTTACCTTCTTCAGGAACGCTCAAACCCAATCATTTGAAAGCCAAGGATGTATCAGACCAAAACATAGGAAGATAAATATGAAAATATTCATTGGCTTCGAAAGCAGCAATTCAGTTGTAGATTCGAAAAACTTACCTTGTTTATGAAGTTTCCAGCATGAAGTATATAACGAAAAAATGATTTGATTGAATGATTGTCATAAAGCTTTCTACAAACTTGATTCAGAATTTGAATATTTGGTCTTATTGATCCAATTAAGGAATTAAATTCTCCTTTCAAAATTATTGCTTCAATCCGTAATTCATATTCTGAAAGTTTAATTAGTTCCATGAAAAACTTTTCAGCATCACCAAGTCTCTCTTTGTCACCTTCAAACTGTGTAAATGTGTCTACCTGTAAGAGATATTGCAATTCAAATAATCAAAATTAAAGAAATAATAAAGCAATTTTCATTACAAATTCAGAAAAGATTAAAAAGAATATTACCATACTATTGGTGAAAGGTATTGTAAATTCAAAAATTATTGCATAGATCTATTATTAGAGATTTTGAAAAATGGACTAAAATGCGAGATAAATAATTGCGATTTCAGGAAAATCTGCATACAGCAATGTGTATCTGATATCAGAATGCGAGTATTTTTGCGATACTAATTCAGTCGTATTATTCGCATTAACAAAAACCTCGCAATAGTTTCTGTATTTACAGTATTCCAATTCAGAAAAGTTTCTGTATTTACAGTATTCCAATTAAGAAAAGTTTCTGTATTTACAGTATTCCAATTAAGAAAAGTTTCTGTATTTACAGTATTCCAATTAAGAAAGAGCGTTACTGTAATCTGATAACCACCCTTAGTGTTGACATGAACTTATTCCTTACCCTTCCGGAGATCACCCATATTTTTTGGTGGGGTTCGTGTTGCTCGGTTTTTAGTTTTTATGTAGTATTTTGTACTTGTTTGTCTTTTGTCGTCTTTCGTATTTGCCATTGCGTTGTCAGTTTCTTTTCCGATATATGCATTTGAATGTCCCCTTGGTATCGACCGCCTCTATTTTTCAAATCAATATCTTGAGATGAATTGTCATTTCTAGCTTAGCACATAAAAAAATCTCTTACTCTTTATAGACTAACAAAATAACGAATCCCGCCTTACCTCATCAGATGAAGGAAGAAGTTTATTCAAACTTTTAAGCTTTTCAACGCCAACTGATCTAGGATCTCCTTCTTTTATTAATTGTATTATCACATCTGGTGGTTTACGGAATTGTTTTAGGAATATATTTACATTCATGCTTTTCTTTGCATCTAGTAAGGAAATCTATAAACAAAACATATATGTTAAATGCAAACTTTTCAACTCTCTCACAATATCTATTTAAGATGAGAAGATGTGTTATGATTGACAATAAGACAACTATCAACCAGAGTTCAAATGACGTGGATGTACGAAATTATAGACCATCGCACACCCTTCAACAATGAGCAAAACTCATACGGTATAGTCAGCTATGAAAGGCCACGACAAGAAAAAGATGAAACAACTCAAATGGTGAACGTTTCGGCAATAAAGTTTATCGACTGCTTGCAGCTATGGGTAATGAATGTGTCTCTTAAATAGCGGACTTGGTCCTGTATTGTTATGAATGAGCGTCTAAATTCCATATTATTTAAAAATTAAATAGCACTTACCGTTACCTTGATGATATTTTTCCTTTAAACAAATTCGTCATACTGCGGACGTTTACACAAAGGAACTGACTTAAAATAAATCTAATATAAACCACAATAATAACTAGAGTGAAAAAAAAGTCCATTTAATTCTTCAAATTTGAGAAGTTTTGTTATACAGTACGCTCATATTTTCTCCTCAAAATGATTAATATATTAAAGAAATCATGTCGTACTTGACTACTTGACACATTGAACCCTGATGTACCAGCAATATATCATTAATAATGTAGACCAAGTGGCTGTTGTTCATTATCAAACTTAGCAAGTTTCCAGTTTTCGACGCATTTGTTTTTAACTTAAAGAACGCTAACAGCTTAAATCTTAATCATTAATGATTTATTGTTGGTTGCTTAACGTTCAGTGGCGAATATTTCATGCATGTTAATAACGAACTTAAAGTTTAAAAAATGGATTAAAGTACTCAACGCATGTCGAACGAAATGTATATTTAGCAACTGAATTAATATTAATGACATATGTATTTGCTAAAAACAAGCAGTACATCAGTGCTCATAAACTTGCTTGTTTCAGAGCATTTCTTAATTACATTTATAAAAGCATGATAAGAAACTGTTTTTGCAACCTTTTATTCAGAACGTTTGCTTCTGTCAATATCATACCTCATGTGAAGTGGAATGCTTTCTTGCTAATTGTGCTTTATTATTTTCTGGTTTCAGAAGAGCAGCTGGCGTCGTTTGCTTTTGTGAAAACCATTCCTCTAACTTCTTATATTCTACGTCCACCTTGTCATCCATACCAAGGACATCTGCCCAGACGCTGGTTTCTGTGAGTATAATTAGATGTCAGTATAAAAATTGCACGATGTACATGTACTATTCGTTATTGAAAATATACAAACCTAATGTATGGTGTTTATATAATATGACCAAAATTACAAAGGCTAACTGGTCTTGGCATATTACTTTAAGTTTGATTATAACGCATCAACTAATGATAGTTAAAAACTGTTGTTGAAATAGGTTAAATGTAAGTTTTTTAATTTAAAATATCTAATATAATTGCACAATCATTTCGAAGTATCTTAAACTATCACATTTGTTTTCGTTCTAAACTATAAATTACGAGCATAAAATCAGAATCATCTTATCAGAACGTTATAGGTACTCGTTACAACAAAAAAATACTTAAAAGATCAATATTTTGATTATATTGTTGATTTGAAAGGTGTAATATCCATATTTACTTTTAAAAGAAGCAGGAGGTAGTTTGTTCCAGTTGAAGATCTTCATTTTACAATTTGGATCGGGTGTTGAGATTGCTGGTGGAGGAGGACTTGGTGGCTTCAGTGTCCCTGGTACACCAGGCGGAGGTGGAGGACCTCCCATTCCTGGTGGTGGCGGCGGTGCAGGAACTCCACCAGGCGGAGGTGGAGGAGCCGGAACACCGCCAGGCGGAGGCGGAGGTGGCGGAACACCGCCTGGTGGTGGCGGCGGAGGAGGTGGTGGGGGTGGCACAACAATTGGTCCAGCAGCAACAGGCAATGCAGCAGAAGAACCCTTATATTCTTTAGTTGGTAGATCCGCTGTTGCTTGTGAATATGCTGATGAAACGGCTTGTATTGCTTCTGTTGAGAGCTTGTTTCCCCTAGCTAATGACATTCGCATGCGTGGAAGGTCATCATCAGTTTGAACTTCTTTATCCTCTCGTCGGAGTGTCTTTATTGATAATCCTCTTTTGAGGTGAGGTTCTGTTGAGTCTAAACTTACTGCTTGTTGCGTAAGTTTTTCTACCAATGTCCATGTGGCTTCACTACATTTTAAAATAAAAAACATAAAATGTTTTAAAAAATGGAAGCTAGTATTGAAATGAAATTCAGTTAAATTATAAACTTATTATTCTAATGCAGCACTATGCAGAATGTTCATTTTGTTTGGGTTAAACAACCAAATCCAAAGCATTAATTACAAGATGAATGGTTTAAAATAGTGCGCACAAGCGGAGACGTTATGTAACTGATTTTAAAGTTATGATTTAACTGTTCTTTCAATTGTGTAAGAATTGAGATAACTGCATTGCATTTAATTATTTAACTTTCATTGTTGGAAATAAATGTTTGCTGTCTACGTACGCTTACGCATCGCTCTCAATTTGCGACCATAAAATCTTTTATTGATACCCGCAAATATTAAAATACAATACTCTCATATTATTGGTATGGCAATGTATAGAAGGAGATAATCTCTTATTATGGGGAGTAATCTATAAAAATAAAACAATTAAAATCGAAAACCATATTTTCACCCCGTAACTTTCCGAATGAAAGCAGATCTCGGGTTTAAAACAATATGACTATGACAACACAGCTAGACTAATTGTGTTATTCAATGAAGTTTGTTTTCCTGAATAAATCCTACTCTTTTCTGAAACTATTCTAAAATAAATAAACTAAAATCATAAAGCATATCTTTAATTGACTCAATTAAACATTTTGTGAATTTCAAAATAGAAAGTTTATTTAGTTAATAAAAGTATTCTTTAGTATCTAAAATAAGTTGTAACTTATTGATGTCGTCAAAGATTATCCTGTTTGTAATATTGCAAAAGTTTAATATAAGTTTGAAACAGACTTTACCTGTTACTGTGATGTGGATCAATTTGAAACAGACTATACAGTATACTCAGCAATGAGTAAGACAGGGGTGTATGAGAAACCTGTAATAATAAAGTCCAAACGAATTTTTAAAATTTTCGTAGAAGTTTTTCGACTTTATATCAATTTATGTTTACTGTGCGTATTCCTCAACTCTCGTTTTCCATTACAATTAACGTGCAATATTTACTTTCTATTTTTACAAGATCTAGGAGTTATCTGCAAAAAAAATATCTTTTATTTTTTGGTTTGAATCGAATTGAAATTATAGTCGTACGTTCTAAAATAAGATTGCTATATATCTTTATGTTATATGCATATTAATGTTTTTAACCAATATAGCCCAATTTGAAATATTAAGTAAAATATTTGCACCTTTTTGTCTATGGCATCAAAAAGTGCTTTGGGATCCTGAATGTTAACTGTACTTTGTTCTCTAAGGTCTTCTAGAGCCTCGTTGTCAGCGGCTAATTCCTCTTCAAACACGTCACACTGCACGGCTAAGATTGGATCAACATCTTGTCGTAAAAGTATTAAAATATCAAGAATTCCTAGAGCTGTAAAATAAATTTTTCAAAAGTTATTGCTGTACATTTTACATTTTATCATCAATAAAAACAATTATTGCAGGATTTGATCTCGTCAAGATTTGATCGAATCAGATTTATTTGCATGTTCCGAGGGAAGAGATCGGTATTACTCTGAGTGGTTTTGTGTGTTTGTTTGAGTTTAAATTTCGGTTTTGAGTCTGTATATATTCATTAGCTCATAAATTTCATCCCGAATATAATGTGATTAAAGGAAGGTATATTTGATTTCGTTCACGTTACTATTGTTAGAACGTCTAGACAGGATATATATATATATCAATGTACTTTTCTTAAAAATATTTCACTGCGGACAAATGAATTTAGATTTGCAAACATCTATGATCGTACAATAAACTGGGTCCGCTGAAATCGCAAATAGATGCAATGTCAAATACATTACTGCTAAAATTTAACAAAATACTAAACTATATCCTCAGTAGTTTCAGTCTTTTCTTTGCCCTTTTAACGTTCTAATCAGTGTTTATTTTGAACTGAAAACAGCTGTTTACAAGAAGATGAACAGATGTTGCACATTTATTCCGTATGAAATGAAAAGTTTACAACTGTAGAATCCTTAAAAGTTTTATTAATCAAACAAATCAAATTAAAACAACACGTATTTCTCACATTATAACAACACGTATTTCTCACATTATAACAACACGTATTTCACACATTATAACAACACGTATTTCTCACGTTAAAACATCACATAAATCTTCTCCTCTGTGTTAAATGCACAAAAAAACGGAAATCATGTTTTCTTCAGTAATGTAACGTATTTATTACTTCATATTTTTGAATTGCAACAAGTATTCACAGCCTTTCAAACAAAAGTAAAGTAGGGTATAGCACAGTTTCAGGAGTACTAAAGAGACCCTTAAACAAGTTAAAGTAATGAGTGCATTAGCAGAAGTTGAGGGTGGATGAATTAATGTTAAATGACGTTATTGCAGAGTTTATAGATATAAGAAGATGTGGTATGAGTGTCAATGAGACAACTCTCCATCCAAGTCACAATTTGTAATGACATGTATGGGGTTACAAAGAGAAGATGGAAAACTCATTTACTAATCCATTACGTTCTAGCGTACTTTGAAGCGTTTGAGAACGAAAAGTTACACATTGCTCTCGCATATGGGAACGAAGAGTTATGCATTGTTCCACTGTACTCGAAGGAACTTGTTACGCGTTGCCTTAATTTATGCAAATGAAATATTAAGCGTTGCTCAAGAGAACGAGTGAAAAATTTCGTTTTGAACCGAATGGCACTTCATAGTCATACAACGTAATATATACAAATTTTATGAACATATGTCAAATAAGGTTAAAGAAGTGAAATCGAATAATAAAAATGTACCTTTCGTTAAACAAATACTTAGCCCATAACATAGAGTAATGAATCAAATAAAAACTGACAAGTGATTATACATAAATGTTCGGATGCCATGTTTATAAAATACGATATCTATAAAAAGACAAAGTTTTTAGTAGGAGAAGTTGAGGGTGGTTAAAATGATTAAAATGTCTCGTACTTTGACCTATAATGGTATACTTTTTAGAACCCAAATCCACACCTTTTAGTATCTATCCGTATAATAACAAAATTGTACAATAAAAATCAATACAAGATAAAAGCCATATCAAAGAATAGTCGCAGGTTAAGAAATGAAAACTCTGATATCGGTGGCTGTACTTCCGACTAAATTTATAAAACAACGTCATGAAAACGTGCAATTAGATTCGATCTTGTACAATATCCGGTTTTGTTTATAGAATAGAAACACAGAAAACATACAAGAAACATTTTAATCTTATTTTAAACTACAAATGAGCTAAAGGATCTTAATCAACTCAAAATAGACGAAATGATTTAGCAATACCAGTTACAACAGTTTAATCAATACTGTAACCCTTTTCAATAGGACCTTTTAAATAAATAAATTAAAAAAAAGAATGATTTGAAGGGCAATTGGTAATTTTGAATAAAAGTGTCACCACATTCTTAAAGTATGACTATTGAAAGAAGAAGTGGGGTATATTTCAACAAGACAGCAACCGTACGACAAAAATAACCAAAAGGCATCTACAGTCTTTAACAATCGACATGTGTCTATGCAATATGTCAAACTCTAAATCGTCCAGGGTCTATAAAAACAAACAGAAACATTTAAATCTGACATCAACACCAAATGCTTCAAATAACAAAAAAGCATTAAGATATGACATAAGACAACACCAGACAAAATTTGTTTGATTTATAAATATTATTAAAAAAGTTGGCTGTGAAATGCTTTTTCTATTCATTAATTCCTATTTGAATCATACTTCTGTAATAAATATCTAAAATATTTATGCCCCTGCCCAGGCGGAGGGGGCATTAAGTGTTACCCTTGTCCGTTAGCACGTCCGTCCGTCCGTACGTTGTTTGCCTCAACCAAATGTTATGAAACTTATACACAATGCTTATTACCACATAACACAGATCAAGTTGGAATTTTGGTGGCGTCACTTTTACCGTTCTGGAGTTATGCCCCTTTATAGATGAAAAAAAAATGCTGAATTTTTCGTTTCCGTCCTCTAATTTAGTTTGCCTCAACCAAATATATACAATGCTTTTTACCATAAAACACATGTCAAGTTCGAATGTGGGTGGCATCACTTTTACAGTCCTCTAGTTATGCCCCTTTATAACGCTATGTATATGCAAGCGGGGGCATCATCTGCGTCGCATGGACACATTTTCCATTTATTCTCATTAAATTTAACAAGACTATTTATTACCAATGTATGATATCTTTATCTTTTAGAATTGTTTCTACGTCCATTTATTAAAATCTCAGACGTCACTGCAAACACGTCCATATCGAACCAACTGTGAAAAGTTTTCTATTTTGGATACATTCACAACTTATCTAGACTCTAGATACCTTACCGTGTCATTGTATATATATGTGTCTTTTCAAGGAGAACTTGTAGTGTTCGTTTAGTTAGAAATTTCTTACTAATATGAATATGTCTAGCCAGGTTAAATCCTGATAATCACATATATTACATCATACAATAGTTATATTTAATAGTATAGGATACGGAAACATGTGAAATTATAAAGAATAAATGCGGGGTAAATGTCAATCATCGACTTTTATTCATGTACCACAATGGAATTAGTTACTGTAGGTTATTCTGCATACGCCTCATAGATATAGCTCCTAATGTATGATGACCAGGATGGGTTTACAGAATAGAGAATAATGGGCTAAAATATATTAAACAAAGAAAAATGGGCAAAATTTAAGAAAAGAGAATAATGGGGTGCTAAGATATAAAGAATTGAAAAAATTGGCCTAAAAAAAAGAATACAGAAATAAGACACCCCTCTCCAGACCCTCATTTCATTACGTATCTTTGTCCTTTCATTTTTTTGTTCATTTAGTGTTTATGAAAAAGGTTTACGTTCACAATTTCTTCAAACTTATCAGTATGTTTCACTTTAAAAATACAGTATACATTGCTGTAAGGAAGCTGGGAGATATAAAGGTTAATAGTTTCTTGATTATTAGTTAAATGGGAAACGATTTGGAAAAGCGAACGACGAACAAAGGAGTAGAAGTAAAACGACTATCACCTAACCATATATGAAGCTCCATACGCTCCCCCTTAAATAAGCCTCAGGTCAATTATTGTACATCCAAGTCAATTTTGCTCCATGGAATTAACAAAATCAGACATAAAGGAAAAAAAAATATAAAACTACACGTACATACAAAATCACAGCGTACACGATGTCTGTCTTGAAGTTCTTCATTTGATACCACAATAGAATTGACCAAGGCCATTAGTGTTGTCCTGTATGACGTCAGATCGGCAGCACGAAGTTCCTTAATCAGAAGACTGAATTTATATGGCAGCTTTCTCCAAACCTAGAAAAATTCACATAAGAATGTAAGTAGACTAATTCATGTTGCAGCCATAACTACCAATAGTTCATATATTCCTTAGGTTTTCATTCGCATTCTCTTTCAAACTAATGCTCCCCAAAAGATTATATAAACATTAGTATAATAAAAGTTCGTAGGTTCAGGTATACTGTATTGTATATCAATATCTAAAAAGCAGTGTAATTGAAGAAATAATGTGTATTGCCACTTATCTCATTTGGAAGAAGGCTTAAAGGTCTTTATAATCCAAAATATAAGATATCATATATTGGTCAGCATAACCACTTCTGTATTCACTTTCGAACATAGCTCAACTATTTCATGATAGACATGGTAGAGTCCGCACATGTGTACATCTTTTATACTATACAAAGTTATGGCAATAGCCAAATAACTCTTACTGATCTTTTCAAATACGAAATTAACATTAAGAATAAAATAAAAACGTGGTTATTAATATTACCCTGTATTGCTCCATAGCATCTAAAGTCAGATAGAAACCTTCTTTAGAGTAAACACACAAAGCTGACAAAAGTTCAAACATTTGCATCTTGACCATTACATTGTTTGTGTCTAGGGCTGAAATTATAAAACATTTGCACCTTGACCATTACATTGTTTGTGTCTAGGGCTGAAATCATAAAACATTTGCATCTTGACCATTACATTGTTTGTGTCTAGGGCTGAAATTATAAAGCATTAAGTTGGTTAGTCAATTAAGAAAATAAACTAAAATAAATGTTGATTCATTAAAGACCTTTTTCAATTAGGTTTTTATCCCAAGGGTGACTGGGGAATAGAAATAAGGTAACTCTTGGTCTTCTTCAGACCGGCAGTAAAACCCTTGCCACAGTGGTGCGACCGTCCAGTTGTGCGGGGTGTATAAATTCGCAGCCACGTTCAGTCAGACCCTCGTGTAGAGAGAGTTCTAAGAACCCTTGCAACAATTATCTGATGGCTCCGCAGGTGGCCTGTTGCAAAGCTAAATTTCTGACCCTATCTGATTTACCCTTATTTTTCAGTGTCAGTCGAAATTTGCCGCCCTTCATCACGGACCCCTATTAAAGGACATACCTTTGTTTGTATTGTTAGTTTGTACTCGTCCTAAACATGCATATTTGCCACTGGACGTTAAGCAACCAAAATTCAATATATCAATCGGTGTAGAATTTGTAAAAACCTCATTTGAATTTAATGTTTGCCCCTTCATCTCCTAATAACCTTTGATAAATAAATTACGACGTGAAATTGATAAAATTATTACATTTACATCAATCAAACACTAAAAATCAAGGGTATTCTAAGTCAATGTGATTACATAATTTATAGGCCAATTATTCTTAAATATCACTACGAAAGATTTGCAAAAACCAATTTTATACAGAATTTTGGCTATAACGATAGACAAAAGAAAGACATGAATATCAAGGTAAAATAAATCATGTAAAGATGCACACGTGCATAACACAAGGTAATACACAATGTAAAACTTGAGAAACAATTTATTTCTCACTGTCTGACATCTTATCCATCATAATCAAGCGATGTTCTTTCTGTTGATAAAAGCATTGTCAGTTACACTTTCGAATGTACTAGTACATGTTATGTAACGAAATATACAGAATAAACGAAGCAATATACAAGCGAATAATGCATAATGATTAAGTGAAATAAAACGCAGTAAGACTTTGTTTTTCACATGTGTTGATAAAACTTTATTTTGCTTGTGTAAATCCAACGTGTTATGACAAATATCTCTCTTTTCCACACGATATGGTGCATTATTTGAGAAAAGCAATTCCAAAAGCTTATTAAATATGAGCATAAAAAATGTTCATCGAATTCAATCACGCGGTTTAGCAGGGGATCGGGATAGGGAAGTCTCCCCTTTTGCAAATTTACTCAGTATAGATACCAGGATTAAAAATGTGTACGCCAGACGCGTGTTTCGTCTACAAAAGACTCATCAGTGACGCTCGAATAAAAGTCAAACTGCAAGTCATACTACAAAACTATTATATAGATGCCGTGTATGCGATCATTTCAATTTCCAACTGATAGCTAGATGATAAATGGTGCAATTATCGGTAAATCTAGTTTGTCAAGCTTACTTTTGTTTTTGTCTTCCTTGGCAACATATGTTTTGATTTCCATTGAAAATATTAACCTTGAAAACATTCTGTTTGATTTATTATGACCACAACTGAACAATCTTATTTATTAGGAATGATTTATGATACCGATATTTGCATTTTAGAGCATTATGATAAATGTCACCGGACTCGATAAAATTATTTTTATATCAATCCATGCAATTAGAATTATCTTTTAGTAGAGTTTCACAACATTGATATTTTAGTCTGGTAAAAACGTGGTTTATTTATTAGTTGAAAATGGCTTTGGATTTGAACTACCTTTCAGTAATTGAGAGTAATCTTAGATCGGTGCTTTTATATTTTTGTTCTAATCTGACAAGTCAAGCATTTTCCTACTGAATTTTACAATTTGCTCTTATGTTGTGCTGCTTTACCCCTGTCTCAGGAAAGGTGAGAGTTTGAGCGGTAACAAACATACTGAACCCGCCACATTCTGTGTGCGGGAGCTTGTCATAGATTGCTGTCTGTCATATTTGCTGTTCATTTATTGTTTTAGCATAAATTAGGCTTTTGGTTTTCCCTTTTGCATAGTTCACATTTTGTCATGTTAGGGGCTTTCATATCTGAATATACGGTGTTGGTCTTATACTTATTGCTGAATACCGTACGTTGACCCTTAGTTGTTTATAATACCCTCGCCCTTTTGTCTGGTGAATAGTTGTCTCAATGTCAATCATACCACAATTCCTAATTTTTATATTATATGCTCTCTATTTGTAAAGAAGACAGATTAAAAATAGACTTTAATAATGTTAACATGATTAATTTACATGGTGTATATACTTTCCTTTTTACTAAGACTGATTACTAATTGAGATAATAGATAAGCCATAGTGCATATTTACAGACAAGGAAGGGTTGTACATCCTTGTATATTGTAGTCTGTTAATATCAAAATAAAGATACTTCACAAAACTTGCAATGACAAGTACAAACAACTTCATCATCACTTGTAACAATAACTATAATTAGTGTAAAAAGAAAACACTCTATGATTTCCGCAAAATGTGACTATCAAAGTAATTTTTATAACGTTCTTAAGAATATCAGGAAAAGAATAAGTCGAGGAAGAATTTAAAACTCGTGATTTAATTATAATTCAATTATTTCAGTTATTTATGTAAAAATCGATATGCTCCTCAAAATTATTTAAATCTATCGGTATATATAACCTTTTATGAGTATAGTCCTGGTTTAATCGACTAAACGAAATCTACACCGTTTAAAAATAAAAACTTTATTGTTCTTTTATACGTGAAACATACCTGAAGCAAATCTCCGCCCAAAAATGTTGTCTTTTCTTTCCTTTATTTTCAATAAACAATCTACACCACTTTGTGAGTTTACTACCTCTCTAATACACATTATACATTCTAACTTCAGAACCATATCCGACAAATGATGGGTCTTGTACGACCCTAAGTTTTTCAGGCATTGGAATAGCATCCCTAGGCCGTCAAACTGGAGAAATTCTGTCATCCAGTCAACATCGTTTGATTTAATGCATTTCCTTAATTTTACTAAATTTTGAAGATTTGGATTTTTTAGCCACATGAGAAAATTAACAGCATCCATTTTAATTTCGTCGTCATCTTCCAAACTATCGATATCTTTACCAACCATAAATCCATCAGATCTATGTCTCTGTGCCCGTTTTTGTTTCCTTTTGTTTGCAAAACGACTGGTTTTCTCCTCTTTTGATAGCTCATTTTGTCCTCTCATACTCATCTTCGACTTCTGTAACTATTCCTTGATCAAATCAGATCACCGGTTCCTTCAGAAATGTTATCACAATCTAAGTATACCTTGTATATCAGTCAAAACATAAAATATCAATATTCCTATCTTCAGTAATCCGATAAAAGTTTTCTTGTTTATCTATATATTTCAACACGGTTCTTTGTAAAATTTTGAAGATTGTATACACACTCCTGTTTACTGATAAACATGCACTTCAAATCTTACACAGTACTGCATCATATGCGTTTGTTGTTATTCATGCACGTGCTTCAAATTCCATCACAATGATAATTTGTTCACCCACAGACAACCGTTAATCTTTATTTCAATTATAATATTTTTCTTGGTTTAATGCCCAAACTATTCTTTCACTAAGCTATCTTCGCATACATATTTATCAAAAAAGTTTTTATCATTTCACAACTTTCTAGTGATACACAATATCCGGCAGAACATGTATATAGGTGGAACACAGCGTAAACCTTTCTATAGAGTGTACGAATATTATCCTAACCTTGAGGTTGGTTTACACTCTATACAATGACCATTATTATTAAGCGTTTTCTATAACTTCCTTCATTTCACGCCTTACTTAGCTTCATTAACCATTCATATCTTTACTTTATCTACATTAATTTAATGAATTTCTTACGATGTAGTTGACTCTATCCATTGAATAAATTTTCACAAGTGTACACTTTTCACCTGTTCTTTTACATGCAGTTACATGCATATTATACCGTTACTTACTTCATTGTGTATTAATGTACATATTTCACAGGAAAATCATAAGTATCAAAAATGTTAAAAGTGAAAATCACTGAAGCAAAGCATGTTCGAATCAGTGACTCGAAAACACATTTCAATAACGAGGACGTAGATGTTAACATATAAATTTTAATCTTAGGACAACAAAGTTTAAACTATTTTTATGATTGAAATATTGGTCGTTTCTTTTTTAGTCCCAGGTAACAAATCTAATCAAACAAGGAAGATCCTTGACAAGTTGTACTCTGCTATGTTTTGATTTTACAACACCGAGACTAATGGAAGACAGAGGTGAAGTGAATACAAAGTTAGTATAAAAAATCTTTGAACACTGAATCTAATTCTCTTTAAATTCATTCTTTTAATTAAAAAATATTGTATGTTTATACACCCGCGACTTACTACTGTAGTTACCGGGACATATACAGTGTTGCCCTTGTCCGTCGTTCTGTTCTGCTGAAATTTAATATAGGTGTCACAATATGCATGGATGTACTCTGCTGTTTTTATTTTCATCTTAAAGTTTACATATAATAATACAATCTAATTTAAATTAGATTCTGTAATTGTTCTCGTTCTGATATGTCGCACAGGAACATTTATGGTCATGCCATATCGAGATGTCTTTTGATTATTCTTTTTTTGGGGGAAGGGGAGGGGGAGAGGGGGGTTGTTTTCTCATTGACACATATCCCAACTGAGACTACTTATACACTGTGTAATAGTTGTCTCAGACCCCACATCTCCGTTTATTCATATTATGTTATAAACATACTAGTCCGATATCATCTTCTGATAGTAGCGACTGGTGATATCTAAATAACTGTATATAAATGTACGTCACTGCTCATTTTGGTTTCCTCTTCACGGTCGGTCCGGTTTCAGCAATTTCGATTTAGAAAAGTAAACAACGACTGAAACTCAAAAACTAACCATTTACACGTTGTACCTGATAAAAACAATTAACGTGAATTGCCGGATGATTAAAATTTTATAAGCCGGAATCGACTACGGTGCCTATAACGTTTGGAAATGTATCAGTTGTGCCCTGTGTATAGTCTTTAAGGTATTTGCATTGATGAACGGAATTTAATTTCACCATAATATTGACCTGTAAAAATGCATAACATGTATTTTACTCAGTCATTTAAAAAATAAATAGTCCAAAAATTCGTCAGCAACGAATCAATAACAATATAGGTCTTTAGCACGGTTTTTCATGATAACAAAGACAAATTTGCAAAACTTTTATATTTTCCGTATTTCCATACCTTTTTCAGGAAATAATTGTTACATACAAGTTTTCATTGCAAGATTTGTTATCTAACCACAGTCGAGAACTGCTGGGAACTTATCCCGCCACGGGCCAGAGTCAAATCTGTACGTCCGTTGAGACGACGGGATCAATTCTATGAATTAACTTTTCCCATATCTTTCCTAGTACGATTACAAGATAAAAAGGGGAGGCAGGCGCGGATCCAGAGCTTAAAGCGGTTTTTTTTTAGAAGCATATTTGAACATTATAGAAGTTTTCTTAATTGTTCACCAAACCTTATGTTTTCAATAATTGGCACACTTTTTGTTCATCCGTCATATGGTTACTCAAAATTGAATTTTTAGATTAGTTTAATTATTCAATTCCAGATAAAAATACTTCAATAAATGAAAATTGGCAAACATTGAATGTACAAAGTTATTCTAAAAGGTCTATTGTTGATAATTTCACCCTGATGTTATAGCATACTGATCGATCACTGCACTTTTGACAATTTCCGTGCTGATATGAATATGCATTAAAGCAAGGCCATTGAGTCTCTCGCTTGTCATGGTTGCTATACATATCAGCACTAGGTACAGATGTGGAAATAAAGTTTGCAATATCCTTAGATTCAGAAGGTGTCGCAGCAGTTACAGAATTAAAAAAAAAATTATAAAAAAAATATTGTGGATATTTTAGAGTGAGAAAGTATTTTTCTTCAAATCAAGCTACCAGAAAACGTTGTTTTAATTATTAAACCAACAAAGTAATAAAATATAGGATAGCAGCCTTTACCTGTGTTTAAAGTTATTGCAAATGGCTGATATTTTTGTTCGAGCATATTGTTTTTCTTTAATTGTTTAACATTTCATACCGATATAACATGTTACTTTTATTATTCTTCCCTTAGTTTATTTATTTTGTATTTACATTGTATCATAGGTCAAATTTATTTGTTCAGTGTATGTTCAATAGTGTTAATATGTCCTTTGATTGAGTTAAGCTATTTCAGTTGATATTTTATAGTGTGTCTTTCTATGTTGTGATGTTACACTATTGTTTCAGAAAAAGGGTGAAGGTTTGGTACCATTAAAACGTTTAAACCCGCTGCATTTGTTTGCACCTGTCCTAAGTCAGGTATCTGATGTTCAGTAGTTGTCGTTTGTTGATGTGGTTCATAAATGTTTCTCGTTTCTCGTTTTTTATATAGATTATATCGTTGGTTTTCCCGTTTGAATGGTTTTACACTAGTAATTTTTGGGCCCTTTATAGCTTACTGTTCGGTGTGAGCCAAGGCTCCGTGTTGAAGACCGTACTGTGACCTATAATGGTTTACTTTTATAAATTTTGACTTGGATGGAGAGTTGTCTCATTGGCACTCATACCACATCTTCTTATATCTATTGGATGGTCTAAATTAAATCCTTTGATCCTCTAATTATTTCCCCCAGGCCAATGTAATTATGACATGTGTGTATTTAACGGAGTGTAGCGACAACGTGTCACCCAATTAAGTGCTCACTGAATATTCAATTTTTAATAAAGATAACATTAAAAAAAGAAATGATTAAGTGATTGTATGCATTTTGCTCACAAAAAATATTTCAAGATTTTCAAGCGGGGAGGGGGGGGGGGGGGGTTCCCGAACCCCCCTAAATGCGCTAGTGGGAGGGTTGAGATCTATATAAAACTTTTATTTTGACCCCGGTACATTTTCATAAACCTACCTGTTCAACGTCACCAACCTTGTCAGTAGTTGTCGCATGTCATATCGTAATGTTTTTCCTTTATTTAGAGAATTGAGTGTTTACAGCAGATCTGTGGAATTTATATGTATCTTCGGTGGAATCGAGGCAATTTAGAGCGAGATATATATTGTGTGGTCACCTGTCCAATCTAGATGCTTGTCTTTATTATTTCTGTCGTTTGGCTGCTGTTCTGTTGACCTAGTATTTTCTGTGTGAGGAAAGACAGATTTTTCCAGAAACGCAAAAACGCACTTGCTTTTTTGGGGTGTTAAGTGAAAAAAAAAGACAAAAAGACTTAACATACACACACGCACAATTTTGGGGAATAAGCGCAGACATCTTTGTACGCTCTACGTACGTCTTACTAATTTTCTGGAGAAAAATGATAGAAATCAGGGAAAACTAAAAGAAGAGGAAAATGAAAAAAAAAACCTCTCCATCTTTCGTGATTCTATGTTTTTATATCAACAATATTCAGACTCTTTTTGAAAATATTTTGTGACTCTAAAAAGATCCGTTTCAATATTCAATTATCTTTGTTCTGTAATATTCTGTCTGGGTGTAATTACTTTAATTGATTCTTCAGCAGTGTTAACATTTGATTCATCCTCTTACACTGCCGATTTCTCAGATCCTCTCCCTGTTTTTTATTTATCAGCCGATTGATTAAATTGATTTCCTCTCTTCTTGGTCAACTAAGTGGATTGTTTCTCCACAGGTCCGTTACATCTGATACCATATTGACGTCAACTTCGACTTACGACCTTTTTTCTTTTGCTCACGGAATGGTTATGTCAGTGTGACTCTGACTTTGACAGAAAATAGAATTTAGCAGTGTTAATCTTTACTGCTGTAATTATGTTGTTTCTTTGTCTGTTGCCGATACCACAATGTGATAAAAAAATGTACATCTATACTCTGATTGACGGCATTGCACACCACTGTACCTCGCCTAATTTACGTAGGACTGTGCTAAAATTCTAAGTGTTTGCTTATATACTTCACTATAATGACGTCATAATTAAAACTCCATCCCTTGCACGTGAAAAGTGGTGTATATTTAAACTGACAATCTAATAACGTAAAGACAGTGAATGTCATATTCACCGTTCAGTTTTGTGTTGTTGGGTTGCTGTTTTATTGCCGTATGTCTTGCATCTTCTTTTATTCATGTTTATGGTTTATGTGTCAAAATATTGTAACGTATTTACCAACGATTGGAAATATTATTGAATTGTATATTAGCTGATGTTTACCATTAAAAATAAATCTATTTCACGGCACCCCCTTTGTTAAAAAAACGATACTAAAAGAAAAGCTAGGACAAAACGCAAAACAAATCGTTTTCCACGCATAATAAGAAACAAAAGAAGCTACTTCTTTCGGAGGTTAGCTTACGATGTATAGTGTTTGAAAACCTTATATAGTACACAATTTGCGAAATTTCCTCATTGAAGGTATTGGCTTAAATTTGGATCATTATATACGTATTATATACGTTTATAGGTTTTTTTGGCATTTTTCATCTTTTTTTAAAGTTGTGAAATGCGCAGATTAATATCAGATGGTCCAAAAATTCTTGAGCAACAAATCAATCATAAAATGAGTCTTTATCGTTGTTTTGTCATGAAAAAAAAAGACAAATTTTGCCAAACTTTGATATTTTCCGTATTATCATATAGTACCTTTTTCAGGAAATAATTGTTACTTATAAGTTTTCATTGCACCATTTGTAATCTTACCACAGTCGAATACTGCTGGAAACTTATCCCACCAAGGGCCAGAGTCAAATCTGTACGTCCGTTGAAGCGACGGGATCAATTCATATATTTAACTTTCCCCATATCTCTCCTAGTACGATTACAGGAGAAAAGGGGAAGGATTGAGATCTATATTAAACTTTTATTTTGGCCCCGTTATCCTTTCATAAACTTGTTCCAAGTCAGCAACCTTGTCGGTAGTTGTCGTGTGTCATATCGTGATGTTTTTTTTTTAATTTAGAGAATTGAGTGTAAATAGCA